GAGGGACAGGACAGACCCAACTGCTCTCCAGCCGTGCCATCCTCTGCGCCCTTGCCAGGACGGCCCCAGGCAGCTACAGGCAGGAAGCTGTGACCATGCCTCCCAGGTCCCCCAGACCTTGGATGAGCGTTGGCCTGCAGGACTGATGGCCTCAGGCTATTCCCACCCCTTCCTGGGGCAGGGGACTGTAGATAACGCCCCCACGGCCGCACCAGATGAGGCCCCGTGGGCAGGCCTGGATGCCCTGGCTCAGTGTCCAACAGTGAGGCCTGTCTAGTGCATAGGCCCTGCCTGGCACGGCTCTGTGCCCAGACCAGCTCGGCCTGATGCTCAGCCCACCCCACGTGCCTAGTCCCTCCAGTGGGCAGAGCCACAAGGCCCCAGCCCCCTTGGCCTCCCATCTAGGCACTGGGTAAGACCGGCCACAGGCAGGCCCTGAGCAGCGGGCTAATACCCTGGATGAGTCACAGCCAGTAATTCCTATCACCTCCCACAGGATCAGCCTGTGCCCAGCAGGCGGGGCTGCTAAGATTAGCGGGCGCAGACGCAGCCCTAGGAAGCCAGAGAACTCCTGAACTCACAAGAGCCTGGGGAGCTAACACCACCCTCCTGCCCCTGAACCAGAAGGCCCCCAGGGCAAAAGGCTTCCCCGCCTACCCCCCAAACCCACCCCAGGGAGGCAGGAACTTGCAGCAGGCCAATTTGTACGTTTTATTCCCACAAGATAACCAGGGGTGTGTGGGGGGGGGGCGCCGAGCCACGAGCCGGGCCGAGGAACCTTCCTCCGGCAGAGGGTGCACGCCGGGTTCTCGGGTCTGCCCCACCAGCAGGCTGGTTTTCAGGCAGACCGTCATGGGTGCCGGGTAGAAGGCTCCGAGGGGCAGGGGCGGCGCATCCTTGTGGAGCTAGAGGTAGCAGGGCAAGTCCTTCTCGATCACCTGTGGGGGGAAAGGGGGTCAGCGCTGGCCTCTTCCTTGGCCCCCACCCCCCCAGCGGGCCCCTGCAGAGGAACCTACCAGGGGCTCTTCCATGGGACCGTACCGCTTCACCACGCAGCCATTCTTGTCAATGAGGAACTGCAGGAAGGGGCCGTGTCAAAATGGGGACCCCGCAGCTCTGGGGGGGGAATGCGGCCTCTGGGGCCGGGGCTGGAGTCCCTTTGGGCAGGGCACTGAGCTGTGGCTGAATAAACGGACCCAGGGGCAGGAGCTGGCCCTGGACACGGTCCTAGCCTGTCCCCCCTTCCCCCTTCTTACCTTGGTGAAGTTCCATTTGATGGCACTAGAAGACAAATGTGAGATCATGAGAAATCTGTGGCGATTGCGGACCCCCCGGGGTCCCTGCGGACCACCCTGCCCCTTCCTTTGCCCTGCACTCACTTTCCCAAGATGCCCCTCCCCTTGGGCTGGACTTTCATCCACTTCCACAGCGGGTGGGCATCATCCCCGTTCACACAGATCTTGCTGAACATATCGAACTTGACATTATAGCCAGCAGCGAACTCCTTGATCTCCGCGTTACTCCCTGGTTCCTGGGGCAAGCAGGGGCATTGGGGTGAGTGAGGACAAGCCTGGACTCCCCCTGGTCCCCGCTGCCACAGGCCCGACCCAGATCTCCCCACACCCGCCCACCCTAGTCTCGACCATCCCGACACAGGGACACCTAGGGACACAGCTGGCCAAGTACGTACCTGCCTCCCGAACTGGTTGCAAGGGAAGGCCAGGATCCGTAAACCACACTCAGCGTATCTGGCGTGCAGGTCGACAAGCTGAGTATAGTTTACCTCCGTTTTGCCTCATTGCGAGGCCACGTTGGTGACTATGCACACGAAGCCCCTGGAGGAGAGATGGTGCAGTCAGGCCAGGTCAGGGCCAACGACCTTTTCCCCTGCCTCTCCCACCAGGCAGGTATGTACCCACCGGTACTTGTCCAGGTTAACCATGTGTCCATCGATGTCCTTGGCTGAGAACTCGTGCATGGACTGAGCACAGCGCCAGTCGTCTCGGGAGGCACACTGTAAGGCAAGGGCACCATGAGGGGCCTGTGAACCTCGCTGCCACCTGGCCCATCGCCCAGCTCGGGGTCCCCAGAGGAAGGACTCCCAGGCGGATCCGCGCCAAGAAAACCATGTCCCCGAGACAAGGAAAAACTGAGGACGACTCCTCCTCGAAGGCGCCCGCCGCTTGCGCGGCAGGGCGCATTTGACAGAGGACACTGAGACCCAAAGAGGGTTTGGGACCCCGCCAGGTGGCTCCAGCGGCGGGTGTGGAGGCCCCGCGCGCACCGGATCCCGGGAATCGGCGCTACAGCCGCTATCACAGGTCGCGAGCGCCGCCTGCCCCGCTCTCTCTAGACGCGGCTCCTTCCGTCGGGGGCGCGCCCTCTTGCGCCCGCAAGCCCCAGCCTTCCGCCGCGGGGGGACTCGGCGCCGCCGCCTGCCCGGCAACCGGCGCCGCTGCCCGCGGCGACCCGGGGAGCCGGCGGCTGTGCGGCCCATGCCGGACCGTTTCCGGCCGCGCCTGTGCCCCAGGGCCGCGCCGGGGGGACAAAGGGCCGGTAGCCAGGGCGCCCGGCCGCCCGTCTGTGACGCCACCGCGCG